TGTTTTATATAATATTTGTCCTTGTGGGACTGAGTTAGTTCACTCAGCATGCTGCTCTCCAGTCCCTCCTAAGGTAACAATTTACAAAATCATTGCTCCTGCGTTCTGCATCATATTCCATTGTATGAATACACCATAATTTGTCAATCCATTTGATTGTGGTTGGACATCTAAGCTGTTTCCATGTTCTTGCGATGGTGAATAACTTTGCTATGAACATTGGTAGTCTCTTGTGCCTCAGTTCTCGTTTTCTCAGGGTATATTCCAAGCAATGCAATAGTTGGATCATATGGAATTTCTGTGTTCAGCTTTTTGAGGAAGCACCAAACTGCCTTCCAGAATGGTTGTACCGTTGTACAATCCCATCAACAATGTGTAAGAGTTCCTATCTTGCCACATCCTCTCCAAGATTTATTACTTGCCTATCCTGTTAAACTTTGCTACTGTTACTGGAGTGAGATGGTGTCTCATTTTGATGAGATGATTTTGATTTGCATCTCTTATTGCCAGTGATTTGGAGCATTTCTTCATGTGTCAGTTGGACATCTGAATGTCTGCCTCTGAAAATTCTTTCCATGTCTTTTGCCCATTCTGTGATTGGATTATCAGTCTTTTTTTTATGGAGGCCCAGGAGTATTCTGTAAACAAGCGTTATAAGACTCTTGTCTAAGATATATTACCAAATGTTTGCTCCCATTCGGTAGGTTTTCTTTTTACCTTGTTTAAAAAAAAAGGTTTTGATGCACACAGGAATGTAATCTTTAGAAGGTCCCATTTATTAATTTTATCCTCTTCAGATTGTACATTTCTGACTGTATTTGGCAGTCTCTTTACACCATAGACTAGGCCTTCTACGCTTGATCCCAGTTTGTCTCTTATGAACTCTATGGTTTGGGGCTTTACTCCCAGGTCTTTGATCCACTCTTGAGCTGATTTTTGTGTATGGTGTGAGATGTGGATCCGCTTTCTGCAGGTGGAAGTCCAGTTTTGCGAGCACCATTTGTTGAAGAGGTTGTCATTTCCCATTTGATAGCTTTGATTTCCTTAACGAATATCAGTTGACCCTATGATAGCTGGATCTATTTCTGGGTCCTAATTTGTTTTTATGTTTCAGAAGAGCTTTGCTTATTTGGAGTCTCTCTTCCAAACGAAATTGGAAATTGCCTTTTCTATGCCCTTCAAGAATGAAGTTGGTATCTGTATTGCGATTTCGATGAACCTGTAGATTGCTTTTGGTAGGATTTTCATTTTCACAATATTGAGTCTTCCCATCCATTAAGGGGCAGTATTTTTCCATTTAACCAGGTCTCTTTCTGTTTCTTGAAGTAATGTTTTGTAGTCTTCTTATATAAGTCTTTTCTGTCTCTAGTTTATTCTCAAGTATTTAATCTTGTCTTTGGCTACTGTAAATAGTACTGCTTTTCTTGTGTGCTTTCTAGTGTTTTCTTTGTTGCTTTTGGGAAATCCAGCTGATTTTTACATGTTGATCTTTTTTTATGTATTTTTTCTATTTTTACTAATTTTAATAAAGATTTACAGAGATTTTGGATTTCCATTCATTCATTGCTGCACTTTTCTCCCTGCCCACCCGTCCCCACCAGTTCGCTCCTCTCTTTGAAAAGGAAAAAAAAAATTCCTTCATTGATATACAATTTCCCATCACCCCTATCCCCTCGCACAGAGTACACTTCTCTATGCAATCTAAATTCTGGACTCCTGTGCTAACCATAATACTCAATCATATATCGACTCTAATCTGTTTTTTCCCTTATCTGTTTCAATACAGTATACATGATTTGTCCAGTTTTTTCTCAGTCTTACCCCAACCCTGATGTCAGTCCCATTCTACAACAGTGGCACCATGCAGTATTTGTCCCTTTGTGACTGAGATATTTCACTCAGTATAATGTCCTGCACGGTCACTCATTTTGAATAATATTGCATGAGTTCCTTGTTTTTCAGTGCAGCGTAGTAGTCCATTGTGTGACTATACCACAGCTTCTCTATCCATTCCTTTGTTGATGGGCACTTAGGTTGCTTCCAACTCTTTGCTACTGTAAACAAAGCTGCAATAAACATGGGTGTGCATATATCTGCTTGGATGGCAGTTATGGTCTCTCTGGGGTATATTCCCAGTAATGGGATTGCTGGGTCAAATGGTATCTCTATTTGCAACTTTTTGAGAAAACGCCACACCACTTTCCACAATGGTTGCACCATTTTACATTCCCACCAACAGTGAATAAGAGTTCCAGTTTCTCCACAACCTTGCCAGCATTTGTTGCTTGCTGCTCTGTTAAATTTTGCTCTTCTTACTGGGGTGAGATGATATCTCATAGTTGTTTTGATTTGCATCTCTCTTAGAGCTAGAGATTTTGAACATTTCTTCATGTACTTGTTGGCCATCTGAATGTCTTCTTTGGTGAAGTGTCTGTTCATATCCTGTGCCCTTTTTCAATTGGATTATTTACCTTTATCTTTCGGTGGTTCTCAAGTATTTTATAAATTCCAAATATAAGTCCCTTATCTGACATGTCATTACCAAATACTTTTTCCCAGTCTGTGGCTTCCCCTTTTACCCTATTGGAGAAGTTTTTGGATGTGCATAAGGATTTGATTCTTAGAAGGTCCCATTCATCTATTTTATCTTCTCCTGGTTGTAGAACATGTTGATTTTTTATACTGCCTGCCACTCAGCTGAATTGGTTTACTAGTTGTAAAGGGTGTTTTTTGTTGCATCTTTAGAAAGGCTTTCTGTATGTGCTGTTATTATTTTGTCAGCGTATTGTGATAGTTTTTCTTCTTCTTTGCCAATATGGATGCCCCCTGTTTCCTTCTCTTGCCTAATTGTCCTTGCTAAGACTTCCACTATAGTACTGAGCAGAAAGATGATAGTGGGCATCCTTGTCTGGTCCTTGTTCACAGGGCATCCCTTCCTATTGTTCTTTGTCTAGAGCTCCCACTTCAAGCATCAAATTCTGAGCTTTAAACGTCTAACTCTTCTTCTCTTGACTAAATTTCTCTTTGTATAAAGGAACTTTAACTATTTCCTGCAGGCACCTCAGATGAGGGTAATGACAAGTGATTATTCTGGAAGAAAGGTGAGGCTTGGACAGAGCATGCCAGCAGCAGAATGTAATTGGCAATTTAGAGCTAACTGGATGTCCCACTCTATAAATCATAAAATCATAGTAACGTGTCTCTTTCATGTAATAATCAGTGTGAATGCATTATGTAATTTGAGCAATGTTTCCATTTTTCTTAGATATCTATGAATGAAATGCACTTTCTGTTTCAGGTCAGACACTGCAGGCCAGTTTACTTCCAGATTCTTACCTTAAATTAATTTTGTCCCAATAATTAAATTCTAGAGGGGACAATAGTTGTAAGTGTAGCCACAACCTGGCTTTTTATTAGTTGAAAAATACCTTTGGATTTCCTGCATTTTATTTTTGGAAAATAGGGTAATTCATAAGGCACTCTGTTTTCCGTAGTATATTATGAGTTGGTTATTAGATGAGGTGGTGATATATTACTCAGCAATTCCTTGCCAGCTGATGTGTGTATATATGATCAACTAGCCCGGCCTTGCTTCAGTTTGCTGTAAGAGATAGACCGCAGTAGCCTGAATGGTCTCTCTCGTATAGATAGAACACACTTCGTTTTTCTTTGTTTGTCTAAAGAAATGCAGTATTTGAAATGTACCTGTGCTTCCTTTGATCTCTTTCTTTCCTCCGTTCTTTGAAAAGGCGGCCTTGGCCTATAATTAGCCAAAAAGCCTTGGTGACACTGTGAGTTAAGTGTTGTGCTGCTTCAGAAGGTTAGCGGTTTAAACCTACCAGTTGCTTTGTCAGTGGAAGATGAGGTGGTCTGCTCTCAAAGATGTATAGCCTCTGAGGCCATGGACCAGTTCTGCTGTCTTCCAGGATCACCGTGATTTGGAACTGATGTGAGGGGTTTTGAGCTCAGCGCATCTTTATCTCTTTGGTAGGGATCACCTTCAGCAGGGATGGCCGCTACATGGCGCTGGCAGAGAGGCGGGACTGCAAGGACTTCATCAGCATCTTTGTGTGCAGTGACTGGCAGCTCCTGAGGGTAAGACACTTCCTCTTCCAGCTGGGATAAAGTGGTCCCTGGCGAGAGGTGGCTGAGAGGTCTCTCTTTAAGGGTACAGGAGACCTTTGGTGTGTTGTGGGACAGTGATTTCCAGAGGGCAAGGGTACTATGTGCAGCTTCAGGTAGTAAATTGCTGGCCAGTGTTTCCAAGACTCAGTGAAAACGGGGCTTTTTAATAGTGCAGGTATCCTCAGATTTGAGCTGTTTTTGTTGTTGAGTTTTTAAATTTGGTGTTTGTATATATGTACAGTCTATTAGGAAAAGGAGCAACTTGAACTTGACTTTAATTTACTGTGTGCTCTGTGCTAGAGACAATGCCAGGTGCTGAGGGTACCCAGGGTCCTTAGCCTGGTCCTCTAGGAGCTTGTAGTCAAATGGCAGGGCAGGTGGTTTGCATGGAGATACTGCTGGAATGCTGCTGGAGTATTGAGGAGAGGGCCCCAAGTCAACAGTCCAGGGATGTGTTCTTGGAGGGGATCTTGTCTGAAGTGAGTCTTCGAGGACAGAGGCTCAGCCTGGCAGGAGAGGGTGTGAGGACGACATCTAGGCAGGAGAATGGCTGTAGCATGGCAGAGCCCTCCCAGAAGCCATCTCACAGGCTCCATGGGCTGATGGGCGCATGGTAGAACCTGTTCATCACCAAAGGAGCTGGTGTTGAAGATGGCAGTACCATTTCAGGGTTGTTGATTAGGGTTAGGATTAAACCACAGGTAGAAACTGACGCAGTGGTCTCAGAAAGTATTTCCAGATTTTCACCTGTCTTTCCCCCTTCTTTGAAAGCATTTTGAGACCGGCACCCAGGACCTCGTTGGGATCGAGTGGGCTCCCAATGGCTGTGTGCTGGCTGTGTGGGACACCTGTCTGGAGGTATAAAAACGACCCAACAAGCAAATCCTCTTTTAAGAACTTTTACTGATAGATTAGTTATCTGATGCTTTTTGAAAATTAAAAATTTTAATTGGGTGTCATATAATTTATTTAATTGTGTTTCTTTCATATACATTGTGTTCCATATAATTCCTTACACTGCATTTCATACATTCATATACACTGTATCTCATAAAATCAGTTACCATTGATCTATGCCCATTATTAATCTAATGTTCTCTGAATCCTGCAGTTTGATTCCTTTCATCCTGTTTCAGATGTTGGGGCACTTGAACCAGCAGGTCATTAGCCTCAAGCCCAGCTTCCCTCTGTTCACAGTGCTCTCACTCTGCTGTGCTGGTTATGATTCATCACACACTCGGGCCCCAGGACGGCCCTGCCTGGCTCCCTTCTGACAGCCTGCGTGCTGTCCGGGTGGGCACACTCTGGTGGTGTCTCTTGCATGTCTGCCTCAGGTCCCTGTGGTGTTTAAATAATGACTGGAATTTCTTGTCTAGTACAAGGTCCTGCTGTACTCCTTGGACGGCCGGTTGCTGTCAACCTATTGTGCATATGAGTGGTCCCTGGGTATCAAGTCTGTCGCTTGGAGCCCCAGCAGCCAGTTCCTGGCAGTCGGAAGCTATGATGGAAAGGTGGGACCTAGCAATGCTCCAAGTTAAAACCTACCCCTCTGGACTTGCCCCGTGAGTGGGAATGCTCCGGGGTCACCATGGTGTTGACCCTCATCTCATGGTATTCTTTAACAGGTGCGTATTCTGAATCATGTGACTTGGAAGATGATCACTGAGCTTGGGCATCCTGCAACCATCAGCAATCCTAGGGTTGTAAGTATGGCATTTTTAGTTTCTGATTGAGCAAAATTTTAGGGGTAGGAGTGGGAGATGGCTTTCTCTTTGTACTGTATGTTGTTACATTACCTCTTCTCTTCACACTTCCCAAAATGCTTTGTGCTTGGGTCTGTCCAGTTCTTGCTCTTTGTGGACTACTCTGGGTGCCTGTCTTTCTGCTTGTGACATACACCTGAGTGTCTTCTGTCCTGCAGAGCACTGAGCTCTGGGCTCCTAACCCTCAGGGAGACAGGGGACAGACTCAGCAGGGACAGGCAGGACTGCTAGGCCAGGAGAGCCCTGGGGCCAGTAGAGTGGTGTGTTTGAGCAGACACAGGAAAGAAGTGACATAGCCACCCTGGGAAGATGCATGTCAAGCAGAGGGGACAAGGAGTTCAGATGCCATGGAGTGGGAGTGTGCATCCATTGTCAACTGCTGCTGTGGACCAGGTACTGCCCTTGTTACTGGGAGACAACAAGGACAGGGAACAACAAAACCCCAGGCCTTGGTATACTAGCACCAAGGCTGCCGGCCCATAAATAAGACACAAGAGAGGATACCCAGGTATGCCAGGAGGAGAATTAACTGGGGAAGTATGTACAAGTGTAAATGTGGGGGCTGGAGGAGGGGAGGGTGGCCAGGCAAACTGGAGGAAAAGCTGTTCTTAAAGACCTACAGGTGGGACAGTGCCTTTAGGCCCTGCGCAGACTGGTGTTCTGACCCAGGGAATAAGGGAGGAGGCATGGAGAGGAGGGGCCCCGCAAGACAGGCTTGGGTTTTAGTCTTGCTTTTCTTCAAATCCATTCACCAACATGCAGTCAGAGCATAGTTTTAAAAGCCCTGTATCTAGGTTCCTCAGACTTGAGGCTCCTGCATCTGCGCCGGCTCTCCTTGGGCCTCCTGAGACTCTTCCACTGCCCACTCTCCCTCCTGCGCCCAGCGTCTGTCTCCATGCCCAGATCCTCAGATCTTCTCCCAGATGGAAGCACACTCTGTGTGCGTCCCCATCACGTGGTCCTCTCTGGAGGTGTTCTCTCTCCCTTGGGCAGTGGGCTAGCAGTCAGTGTTTTGTGTGATTGTCCAGAGAAAATAAGCTTTTATTTTAGACTAGGCCTTTTGGACTTAACTTTTTGAACATTTTTTTCTCAATATAAAACAATCCTTTGTTTTGTAGAAAAACTAATTAAATGGTTGTGGTGGTCATTATTTTTGAGTCAGAATTGACTCTAAACTGATTCTCCAGTAGGTTTTCAGAGGCTGTGTATCACCTGGGAAGGGACTGCTCATTTTTCTCCTTCAAAACAGCTGGTGGATTCAAACTGCTTGCATTTGGATTGACAATATATTTACCCACTAGGCCATCAGAGTTAGGAAGAATTTGAAAAATGTGCAATTCTTATGTCTGAAGGTGGCTTGCTTTGTCTTTCAGATTGTCTATAAGGAAGCAGAGAAGAGTCCGAAGCTGGGGCTAGAGGGCCTTCCCTTCCCACCCCCGAGAGCAGCGGCCAAGCCTCTCTCCACCACAGAGACCAAATGTAAGGGGCAATGGGGCATTATGAGGGAAAATGACTCCTTGTTGAAGTGGACGTCCTGTGGTCTTCATTTAAACAGGCATGGGGTTTCCTTTCCCTGTGTTACTTGTAGCTATTTCTCAACCCATTCATCTGAATGGGAGCTCTGTTGGTCTAACAGGGGACTTGAGCTGCTAACCCAGAGGCAGTAGCCTCTGGCAGGTTTGATTCCAGCAGCGACTCCTGGGGATAGAGATGGCCCATCTCCTGTGCCGTCTACGGCCTCAGAAAAGTCACCGGAGGCTCAGCTAGGAATCAGTTCCAGCTTGAAGACAGTTTGTGGTTTTTGGGCTTTTTAATACTAGTTTATCTATAAAATTCTAATACATAGTATTTCAGACCAGATTCTTCCAATTTCCCTTAACCCCCCACCCATCAAATTGTACAACCTCACAGTCCCCCCACCCTCGCACACCTTCATCCCTCTGCTTTCATCTTCATACTCATACTACAATAATGGTTTTATACAATATTTATCCTGTGGGACTGAGTTAGTTCATGCAGCATAATGCTGTCCAGTCCCTCCCAAGTTAGGTAATAATTTACAGAATCATTGCTTCTGCATTCTGCGTTGTATTTCATCGTATAAATGCACCATAATTTGTCAGTCCATTTGTGGTTGGACATCTAGTCTGTTTCCATGTTCTTGTAATGGTGAATAACGCTGCTATGAACACTGGTGTACAGGGCTCTATTTGTGCCTCAGTTCTTGTTTTCTCAGGGTATATTCCAGGCAGTGGCATAGCTGGATCATATGGAATTTCTTTGTTCAGCTTTTGAGGAAGTGCCAAACTGCCTTCCAGAAGGGCTGTACCATGATACAATCCCACCAACAGTGTATGAGTTCCTATCTTGCCACATCCTCTTCAACATTTATTACTTGCTATTCTGTTAATCTTTGCCACTGCTATTGGAGTGAGATGCTCAACGTAATCCCAATTCAGATACCAAATTTATTTTTTCCCCCAAATTTATTTTTAAAGGAGATCAAAAGGGAAATTGTCAGATTTATTTGGAGAGGCAAGAGACCCTGAGTAAGCAAAACACTTCTGAGAAACAAAAATGAGGTAGGACGCATAGCAGTCCCTGACCTCAAAACCTACTACAAAGAGGTAATAACCAAAACAGCATGGCACTGGTACAGTGACAGGCACATAAACTAATGGAACAGAATTGAAAACCCAGAAATAGACCCAGCTATCTGGGTCAACTGATATTCAACAAAGAAATCAAAGCTATCAATTAGGAAATGACAACCTCTTCAACAAATTGTGCTCGCAGAACTGGACTCCCACCTGCAGAAAGCTGAAACAGGATCCACATCTCACACCATACACAAAAATCAACTCAAGAGTGGATCAAAGACCTGGGAGTAAAGCCCAAAACCATAAAGTTCTTAAGAGACAAACTGGGATCAAGCTTAGGTCTAGCCTATGGTATAAAGAGACTGCCAAATACAGCCAGAAATGCACAGTCTGAAGAGGGTGAAATTGATGAATGGAACCTTCTAAAGATTAAATCCTGTGCTCATCAAAACCTTTTTCGAACAGGGCGAAAAGAGAACCTACCAAATGGGACTAAACATTTGGTAATACCATCTCAGACAAGAGTCTCATAAAGAATCTTTATAGAATACTCCTGGACCTCCACAAGAAAAAGACTGATAACCTAATTGCATAATGGGCAAAAGACATGGAAAGAATTTTCAGAGGAAGATATTCGAATGGCCAACAGACACATGAAGAAATGCTCCAGATCACTGGCAATAAGAGAGATGCAAATCAAAACCACAGTGAACTTGTGTTTTTAGTTGAGTGTAAGCTCAGGATATCTAAATATGCAGAGTAGTTAATGAGTAATATAGGAGTTCCTGAGTGAGCTGGAACAAGATTCAGGAGGATGGCAGGGTCAGCAGTCACACTGGGCTGTCAGATGGTTTTGATCTTGGCTGTAAGGCCTAGGGCATGCTGCTTGTCTGGTTTTCCATCTGTAAATGGGTATGATGGAAGACCTGTCCTGGTGAGTCATTGAGGACTGAGTAGATCCTCAAGTAGAGGATGATGGAAGACCTGTCCTGGTGAGTCATTGAGGACTGAGTAGATTCTCAGGTAGAGGGAACATCTGAAGAGATGTTCTTCATCTGACTCTTCCTAGGGCTCTGTAGTCCAACAGCATGCCACATTTGGGCCAGCTTAATAACCAAGTCTGAACCTCCACTTGATCTTACAACACCTGTTCTGAGTTGGAAAAGTCTAAAATCAGAGTGAAGGGGAGGTTGATGCAGATTATAAAATAAGAAGTCAGAGGAGAGAGAGGTGCCATGTTCAGGGCTGTGGACCTGAATGTAGTCAGAGCCAGGCACTTCTGGGGGCTGTGGGAACCCCTTCCCAGCTCACTGGGCTGCAGGGCAAGAGAATGACCTGCAGGATCTTAGCCAGCCCAGGACCCTCTTTACAGAGGTGCAGACAGGCCTTTTACCATACCAGCTGCCTCATTTGACTACAGTGGGCTCAGACGGGGATCTGAGATTTTCTCTTTAGCAGACTGCCATGGGCTGGGCTGGTCTCTGCTGTTAAGGTGTGGTCTTCCTGTGATGACTGCAGTGTGCGTTCTTTATCCACCTTTCCAGATGAGATCGCCTCCCTTCCGGTCTCTCTGCAGACCCTGAAACCACTCACTGACAGGGCAAACCCCAGGATCGGTGTGGGCATGCTGGCCTTCAGTCCTGACAACTACTTCCTGGCCACAAAGAACGGTCAGTGCACAAGGCTTTGGGTGGTGTCAGGTCTGTCTTGGTCATCGCTTCCCCTCGTACCAGGTTCAGGCACAATTTGTAAAGGAAATTCCACAGTGTTAGGGATTATGTTCCCCAAAATACATGTTATAAATCCTCTCCTCTCCCTGTGGTTAGAATCCCACTTGGGTAGGGGCTGTTCATGTTGAAGAGGCAGGATAGTGTGGGCTTTCATGTTTAGTCACTTTTTTGAGATATAAAGTGCTCGGAGTAATGAAGCTGAGATCTCACAGGTCACTTGCTGGGAAGATGTATTGCCAGCAGCAGTTCCTCACGTTGCTGGGCTTTCTGTCCAGTAGCAGATGAGTAGTTTGACTTACAAGGTGAGAATGGCTAGGTCCATGGCCTACAAAGCCTAAAGTCTGGTCCTGACTGCTCCAAAGGACTGGATAGTCTAAAACCTGGCCTAGGGGCCCCGGCTCCTGCAGAACTCACACCTCCCTGACTTGCTTCTGTAGCTTCCATTTAAGATTCAGTTGTCAGGGGCATCAAGGGTGGGGTTCAATCAGGGACACCATTCATTGGCTTTAACACTACTTCTTCGTCAGACAACATCCCCAATGCCGTGTGGATCTGGGACGTCCAGAAGCTCAGGCTGTTTGTTGTGTTGGAGCAGCTAGCCCCAGTGCGAACTTTCCAGTGGGACCCCCAGCAGGCACGCCTTGCCGTCTGCACAGGGGGCAGCCGCGTCTACCTGTGGTCATCGGCAGGCTGTGTGTCAGTGCAGGTGCCTGTGGAAGGTGAGTCTGTCCTAGCTTCCCAGGGACTGCAGAACATGGTACAGTGAGACAAAAGCATCTAAACATGCTACTACCCTTGAGTGTCAACTGACATTCCTCTGGGCAACTTTGGTAAACCTCTTGGCCTGCCCCAGGCTGGCTTCCCACCTTGAACTTTATAGACCTTGGGAAAAGGACTGTGCTAAGAAGAGGTGGTTGAGGTGGCTTGAGGATCACCTGGCCTGCCCAGCCTGCTGACCATACTGTCTAGGAAGTGGATCCCCACAGGCTCATCTGTTTATTCCAGATGGGTTTTGAAGGCACTTTGTTGACTCTTCTGTGTCTCTGCAGGTGACTTCCATGTGCTCTCCCTGTGCTGGCATCTGAACGGGGACTCCCTGGCCCTCCTCAGCAAGGACCACTTCTGCTTGTGTTTCCTTGAGACCGAGGAGGGGGCTGGCACAGCCTAAGGACCTGAACTGTCTCAGTTTGTCACCTGGAGCAGTGGACTCGGCCCCAGCACAAGGGGAAGGAGCAGAGTATCTTGGCATTTTTTACCCTGATGGGCCACATTAAATTGACTTTTTTTTTCCTATAGTTTGTATATATGTATGTATATGTTTGTATATGTATGGTATAAAATTAATTTTTATTACTTAAAATAAACCTTTGTAGCTCATAAAATATCAGTGCTTGTTTTCTTGAAGTTTAGGTCTCAGGAATGTTTCCTCGGATAGCTGTATATTTGTGGTTTTAAAGAAAACCATCTCCCTGGAGTCTGGTGGCCTAGCTGCCTTGCAACCACAAAGGCACATGGTCTGAATCTACCAGCAGCTCCTCAGGAAAGGGATGATTTACTGCCTCTGAAAACGCGCTGGAGTCAGCTCGGGTTGCTTCTGACTTGACAGCACACAGCCATAGAGTGACAGGAGCCCGAGTGGTTCATCTGTCCCCCCTATCCCAGTAGGCCCTGTATCTGCAGCTGTCTTTGAGTCTATAAGTTCCTCCTGTATGAGCCTGGGTTCCATGTGGGGTATGTAGCTCCCCGTGAGATCTTTAGAGGAGTGGGAGGCAGAATTTTGAGTGAAACACTGGTTGGTCCCCTTTAGCACAGGGCAGGAATGGCCATGCCCCTGCCCACTGAGTCAATTTTGTAGGAGATCTATGTCCACTAAGACTTGAGAGCCAGTTCCTTAAGTCCCCACCTCACTGGTGCTGTATTCCTGAACCCACTCGAGAGGCACCTGGCACCCTAGCCCAAGGCAACACCTGCCCCATCTGGTGTCTCTTCAGGTGCTTCTGCTGGGCAGCTGAGTGACCACCACCAGGAGACTGTCCGAATTCCAAAGCTCAGTGTGATCATTTTCCTTGTAAGACTGTGTCTGCTGTATGTTGCTTTGCAAATAGAATGGGTCAGTAAATACTGTCCTGTGAATTGGGATGCTCATGGCTATTAGCACACAGCATGCTGGTGTAGGATTATAGACCTTTGGGAAACAGCTCAAGCTCTAATTTATACCTGTCAAAGAAGTAATGTTCAAAAAGAAAAAGCCGTGTTCTTGGTTCTGGCCTCTATTTTAATGATAACTTCGAAAAAAGGAACACCACCCACACAGTTCCAAATATCTTTACTAAAAGACCCAAAGGAAGGCATAACCCTGTGAGGCCTCTGCTCCGAGTGGGCTCCTGCCTGCTGACAGCTCCACCCATCAGCTGGAACTGATGGGGTGGGAAACCAGGGACAACGCTTCTGTATCAGAGCATGACATTTCTCAGCGAATGCTGCTGGCAAGCAAGCTGTGCAGGGGTGCCTAAGGGTGTGTTCCAGCCTTGTGTGGGCCCACCAGAGGGGCCTGCCGTGCTAGCACACTGGGAGCCGATGTACACAAAGCTAGGAGACTGCATGCAAACCCGTGACCAAGGCAGGCACTGTCTGTGAGCACCGCACAGGGCACCTTCGGTAAAGTGCAGGCTTTCAATCGCAAACGAGCCAGTTTTCTGAATACAAACAGGATGAGGCAGACGAGATTATGTACAGAGCTAACCAAAAACTGGTAACTTGTCTTAAGAACAGTTTTCTATAAGCTTTTTTGGGTCTGGGAAGGATGTATAAACACAAATTAATTTTAGAAAAAGTGGGACCACTGGTCAAACATTTACAAAAGAGCAACCATCCATCCTGAAGCTGACAAGGCAGAGGCTATTAATTTACCAGTCTGTTGGCTTCTTTTGCATTTAGCTTAAAAAAAAATTTCAAATACAAAATTTGACACCAAGTGTAAACATATTTTCAATTACAGGCCCTCCCTTATCAATGCTAACACCGGCTCCCTCCCTGTACATATCTATCTACAAGGCTGACGTGGTATGTGTTTGAGCACAATCACTGACATTTATTAACATGCAAGAATGCCTGGGCAGAAGAACCACAAGGAGCCAGCGTGGTACACTGAAGGGACGTCACGAAGCCTAGTCAGTCCAAGGGCAGTGAGTTCACTCTGCTTCTGTCTGTAGCTCCCATGAGCAGATGGCCACACCATCAGGCTTCCAGAATTCAGTTTACTATCCTAGCGGCTGTGGGGTCCAGGCCAGTTGCCATGTCTGGAGGACTCAGAGCCCCGCCATCAGCCTGGCTCTTGGGGAGGCTCCCTGTGCAGACGTTAGAAACCTATCTTGCCTCTAGTCATGGAGTAGCCCAGCTTGGCCTCGTTGTTGATGAAGGACATCAGGCCCACGTAGGTCTCGATGAGAAGGGGCCGCTCGAGGACCAGCACAGCGTTGGATCTTCCTGGCAAAGGATACTCCTTCTGAGCTTTCTTGACAGCTTGAATTACCAGAGCCTTGAAGCTTTCCAACTTTTGAAAAAGAGAAAATGACTGGAGTTTTAACTCTAAAGAAGAAAAAACTTGTCCATGAACATTCAAAGACCCTTCAGTGCTCCAAACTCCCCTATTTCTTTGTCAGGCCCTTAGGTACCCTCACTTTTATGAGCTCCATCTTAGGGGTCGCCTAATGCACTGAATTATGCTCTCCCAAAATGTACATCGTAAATCCAAACACTTGTGCCCGTGGTTCTGCTGCAACGACCTCTTAAAGTACTAAAAAGCAACAACGTCACTTTAAGGATTAAGGTGCACCTGACCCAAGCCATGGTATCTGACAAAGAACTGATGGCACTAGTGAAGAGTACTGAACATACCATGGACTTCCCAAAGAACAACGAATCTGACTTGGAATAAATGTTCCTTAGGAGGTGAAGATGGTGAGACTTTGACATATGCTGGACATGTTATGAGTAGAGGTCAGTCACTGGCTAAAGACATGCTTCAAAGCAGAGGGACAGCAAAAAGGAAGACCCACAGGTAAATGAATGCAGTGGCTATAACAATAGGCTCAAGCACAGGCGAGGCCAGGAAGTGTTTTGTTCTGTGGGACTTTGGGACTCAGTCAGTGTGAGCGCACCAAACAACAAGGGCACCTGTGTTTATAATCTACCCCATGGGAGGATGGGCTTTCCTTGTTAACAGGCCATAGTCATATAGGGCAAGTTTTAAGCCTTTGAGGTATTAAAAAATACCTTTGAGATATAAAAAGAGCAAATTAGGACAGAGAAGCAGCAGACATGGGGGAAAAAGGCCCCATGCCACATGAAGATCACCAAGGAGACAAAGATTAAATGTAAGGGCCTTCCCTAAGAGCCAACAGCCACGCACCTGTGGTATTTCTACTAGAGCAGACCTAGATTCCTAAGAATTGCTCAACAAACCATCTCAATGTAATACAGCTATGTCAAAACTCCCCTGGCACTGTGCTCGCTGGTGTCACATGGTAGCCTGGAGTCAGGACTACCACTACAAAACCAACTCTGAGTAGTTCTGGCATAATAACCTACCAGATCATGCCTGAAAATTGGACCAGAGTCCCACCAGTTAATCACCAAGCCACGGCCAACAGCCTGCTGGTGGTGGCTGTTTGGTGCTGGACTCTTCCAGCCATCATCCCACGTGACCTGTGGTCATGGTAAGGGCCTGGAGGAGTTAGTGTCATCCTTTGAAGCCTTCCTTTTTGGGCCTTTCTCCATGACGGGGTAGTTACTGAGCTACACTGCCTAACAGCCACTAGTCATGTGGGATTATGTAATTGGAGTTAGATAAGTTTATTTCCTCAGTTCCACTGGTCCCTTTTCAGGTGCTAGTGGCCACAATACTGGACAGTGCAGGTATCCCATCAGATATCCTGTCCCATCAGGTATCCTGTGTGTGTCCTTTTACCTGACACAGAGATGCAGTCTTTTCATCAGCGTCAGCCATCGGGTGCTCAATGAAGGTGGCAAAGGGCACGTTGGTGGACCAAGGATTCCACCTGTTTATGAAGGAAGGGCGACTCTGCTTGTCCCACTGGATGCGAAGCCCAAATCCTTCTCGCCTAAACAAATAGAAGAAAGCAATTAGACTCACCACAGCAGGCCATTTGAAAAACCAGCATGGCATAAAAGTGTTCCCTGTTTAAAGACCACAGACAATTCACAACAGAAGAGGGTTTAGCAATACCTGAATAGTAAAAAAGGTCTCCACACTAGAGCGTATGCTTCACTTTATTATTCTAACGGTCTTCACTAGCAATGAAGCTAGGTGCTTCTAAGACGACAGAGTGAATATATTCTTTTGGTTAACCTAAGCATAACCTTTATTATGAGAATTCAGTAAGTAACAGAAATGTTACAGATGGGCTAACTAAATGAGTGCCGTTCCATTACATAAAACTGTGTTATTACTGGCTGGTTAGCATTTTTTGGCTCATGCTAGCTTCCGGGATTATTCCTTTCCAAATCTCTACAAAACTTTAAAGCTCTGTAAAAAACAGTTGAATTCAGTTGCTACCGGGACATCAAGGTTTTCTATCTTTCAGAATACTCTCTTAAAGCAACCAGTCCTTAAAAGTTGATTATTAAACTTTCAGATTTATCTAGTTCTCAGCAATGCCTATACTCGTTTCTTTAAAAATTTCCGTGGAATAGGAACTGACTTGCTTGATAGAGCACTTTGCCTCTCCATGGACAAAATCCTGACTTTGGCCTTCAACTTAAGACTTATGTGTGGTGGTTTTTAATACACAGTTGTTGCTGTGTTCTGTCAAGTCGGAAATGACTCATCGATGACCCTCCAGCGGGTTTTTGGAGGCAATAAATAGCAGGAGAAGATGGAATGCCTATCCTTCTCCCTTTAATTCTAGTCCATTACTTTGGCTACCGGTCTAAGGGCTGTCTTTTGCGCCAGAATGCCTTTCAGTGTCCTTGGCTTCTATTCTAAGAAGCTTTCCAACGATTTCTAAAGCTGCAGCCCTTTATGCTTCTATATAACACATGATGGAGAAACAAAGAATATCCAACAGGGAGCTAAGGAAACCACAAGAGTTTAGTTTTTGTTTTTTAAACGTTTTACTTTTTATTTAATTTTAAAAAAAATATGTGTGTGTGTTTGTGTGTGTGTACCATCAAATTGACAGAGAGAGCTACATTGCCCTAGTGGACAGAAAGTGATGCTACCAAGCCCAAGGTGGGTGATTTTAATCTGTGGCCATCAGGCCTGGTTTAAACTGTTTCTCTGTCAAACATTCTGCTAGGTGGTATAGCACTGGTCTGCGTGCACTGCTGTATAGAGGACTCATGTTTGCTGTGATGCTAAACACTGTGACAGTGATATGCCAAATATGATAATGGTTACCCATGGTGGACAGCACTGGGTAGGGCTTCCCAACTAAAACAAGCTTGGAAGCAGGAGTGGCACCCACTTCTGAAATGGCTTGCCTCTGGAAACTCTATGAACAGTGCTCTGGCCTTTTGTTCATAGGGTCGCTATGAGTCATCTATGACTCAACAGCACTTAACAACCACCACCGTCAAACTGGATCTGACTGGTACAGGAAGAGAGTGTTTGTTCCCCCTTCTCCAGCAGAGCATCTGGTGGATTTGAACTGCTCACCTCTGGGACTGCGGCGCTGCTTCTTGCCACTGGGCCACCAGAGCTCAACACAAGAGTTTAGTTTTAAAAGGGGAGGGGGGATGGCAGAAAAGGTGTATTTCAAGGCCTGCTTCAAAAAAGCTCCAGGGCACTGGATTCACTGGGGAAGACTTACTTGTTCAGTGACTTGGGTGGAAACTGGAACTCCCCATAGGAGATGGTGTCCACAGCGTTCAGGGCGATTCTGACCACTTGCAGGCACTGGAGGTTGATGAAGTCATATTTACAGATGAGCAGGGACTGATCTGTGATGAGCACCAGGCGCTCCTTCTCATTGTTCCAGTGATCAACCCTGGAGGCAAACAGCTTCGGTCACCTCTTCCCTCCAGGGACCAAGTAACCCGTGCTGGGCCTGCCACCCCCCAAGGTCCACCCTTCGAGACGCGGTTAGTGTCTTGTCCCCGAAGGGCGAGCTGGCCCTGCGAAGGCACCTCGCGGCTCAGCAGGGCGATCTGGGCTTTTCCCCAGCGCCTGGCAGGGGCCTCTCCCAGAGCCGTCCTGGCCGCAGAGGCTGCCAGCTCCCCAGCCCGCAGCAGGTCGGTCCACTTCGGGAGGCGCTGCTGCGATCTGGTTGCGCGGCGGGCGGCCCCTCCCCGCGCCTGCACTTGGCCGTGGAGATCGGCTCCCTCTGCAGGCCCCGGGTCCCCACCACCACCAGGCGGGCAGGCGGCCAGGCTTACTCGGTCAGCAGCCACACCCCCTGGATCTCGCCGTCCTCCACCGGCCGGACCACCACGCGGATCTCCTCCACCGCCTGCTCGATAGTCCCGGGCTGGGGCACAGGACAAGGTGTAGAGGTCACGCACCCTCCCTCGCCCGGGGCCTGAGCTCCTCCTCCTCCCCTCTCTCTCTCCCTCTCCCCGGGGCCCGGCCTCACCCGGAACACGAAGTACTCCTTGACGCGGGCGCGGCGCGTGGGGTCGTGAACGCTGAGAGGCCACAGCGTCTGGCGCAGCGGCGTACCGGCCCCGGACCGGCCGGTGCCAGTGCCACCGCCAGTGCCACCGCCACCGCCACCGCCACCGCCACCGCCACCGCCACCGCCCGCCCCGACCTCCTCGCCAGCCGCGAGCACCGCCGTGGGGCTCGTGCCCTCCGAGTCCACCGAGTCCCGCAGCTGCAGCATGGCCGCGCCTGTCTGCGGCCCTCACAGGGCCACTGTCGCCGCCGCCACCGCCACCACCCACCAGGCCGTCAGCTGCCCAAGGCGGCTGGCCCGGCCTCGCCCCGCCCCGGGAGCCGCTCCGATTGGCTGAGCCTCGCCAGCTCCGCCTCGGTCTCCACGGCCGTCCCCGTCCTCCGCCCCTCGGGATTGGCTCTTCCCCAGCCGTCTTCAGCGATTAGCTCCGCCCCGCCTTCGTTTACATTCAGGCCGGCCCCTCGCTGTACCGGAAGTGGCCCTAGCGCGCAGGCCCACTTCCTGTTTACGAGGCGGAGACAGAGGGAGGAGGCCCCCCCCCGAGAGAGGGGTTGTTGCCCGGGAAACGGGGCGGGGCCAAAGCGGGTGGCCGACTGTTGTCCAGTTCAGGAGGAAGCTACGAGAGGAGAGGAGGAGCGCAGAGGCGAGACTGAGAGGGACTGGCCTGGGGTCTAAGTGGCGCTGGGTGGCGTTGGTCCAGGGCAGCATCCTCTTCCCTAAGCGCCAGTCCCGCGAAGTGGCCGGTCACAGCTTTGGACTGGTTAGGAGTCCTGGACGCGAACCCCAACAGATCGTGATCGATGTTCAGGCCATTTTCCTTATTGAACCGCAGTAAACATACCGAAGCAGGGCTATGGATGGTCAATGGGTAATGTCACTAAAACCCAAGAAAGGCAGATCTATCTAAGGTAGGGCGGGTATGACAGAGTCTCGGGTGCCTTTTGAGGAGGGGTGTCCACGAGCTGTGTCTGTTCGCATTTTCTGGTCATGATCCGCAAATTGACAGCTGATGGCCGTAGGTGGTGATTCCCACACATGCGCTTCTCGTGAAGCCATCCCTATTCCTTCCCAATCCCTATTCCTTCCCAATCTATTCCCCAGTCTAACAGGGTAACTTTTTCCTCTTAACATCAGACTGCACACCTCCATCTACTATTTTTTTTTTCTCTTCGATCTCCAGTGTGTGAGATGAGAATGCTTGTGTATCTGTGTGTGCACTGGAAGTACATACAGATGTTTGGACGCAGAGAGTGCACTGGGAATATATGTATGTATGTGTGGGGTTTTTAAAATTTTTTTTTAAATTTTCAATTCCTTCAGAGCAGCTTGAACTTCTTCCTTCATCACCACAGGCTCTTGCTCATACATTGTTTCTTGAAATTATTCTGTGTCAGCCAATTCTTTTTGCTGCAGTGCCTCTGTATACTCCTTCCGTCTTCTTTTAATGCTCCCTGGATCAGTTTATATTCTGCCCTTATTCATCCTTAAGTATTGCAACTTGAGACTTGAATTTGTTCTTCAGTTCCTTCAGTTTAAGAAATGCAGCATGAGTTTGGCCCTTTTGATGTGGGGTGCATGTGTTCATACAGGAATTGGGTTTGCATGTATGCACATTCGTGTGGGTATGGGTAGTATATGCAGTGTGTATTGCTGGGAGTGTGTGTGCTGGTGGGGAGTTGTGCATGCGTGCATGTTGGTGCTCCTCCATATCATAATAGGGCGTCACAGTGGTGGGTGGTAGCCAAGGGGATAGTGATGTCAAGGACCCAGGTATTCTGACTGAGTGCTCCCCACACTCTGGGGAGGGGCCACAGAGAGGTTTTGCTATGTAATCCTGGGGAGGCTCCTAATTTCCAGCTACTTGTGAGAAAGTGTGGTGTTTGTCCCAGAGTAGAACATGACCTCATACCTTTGAGGTTGTTCTCAACAAACACAACCTTGAGGAATGGCAAAATTAGCAATGGTGGTCAGGGACTGTATTCTTGGCAAACCCGGAAAAACATAATGGGGGATGTCTCCTAACAGATTTCCAGGCTGGTTAGAGATGCCAGCAAGTTCCAAGAGGATCAATAAGTGGGAGAATGCAGCTGAAGGGGAAAATGGAGGTCTAGAAAGAGCCAGGCGGGCGAGGAAGAAAAAGACTTGAAACATTGGACACTTGGTCAGAAAGTGGAATATGGAATTAGGGATTTCACAGAGAATTTTTTTTAAATGAATATTTGTGTGTGTACCATCAAATCGGATTTGACTGGTAACAGGAAGATTGTCCTTCCTCCAGCAGAGCATCTGGTGGACTTGAACCGTGCTCCTCTGGGATTGCAGTGCAGCTTCCTGCCACTAGGTCACCAGAGCTCCCTCACAGAGAATGTTTTGAACGGTGGCATGGATCCCGTGGAAGTCTTATAACTGACTGTCCAGTGCATGGGATGACTTGGGGCAGAAGAATACCTAAGACCAGGGATATTGGATGGGGATTGAGATCCCTAGAATGCTGGCAGAAATAGGCATGAAGATGATGATGATTCTGGATATGGAAGATCCAACTGAAGATCCACAAACAGAAGAAATGCCAGCAGCAGGACAGGTGGTTGAATGCGTACTAGATGATTAAAAAATAGCAACCAAGAGTTGTTGTTAGGTGCCATCACGTCGACTGTGACCCATAGCGACCCTGTGAGGAACAGAGCTGAGCCTTGCTCTGTCCTGGGTCATCATTATCTCTATGTGCATGAGCCCATTGTACAGGTTCTATATCGATCCATCTGTTGAGGGTCTTCCTACTTTCTCTGATATTCTCTCTACCTTTGCCAGCATATCTTTTTCCAAGAACTGGCCCCTCCTGAAAACATGCACAAAGTATGCAAGATGACAGGGTTTTTTCCACTATTCTTGACTCTAAGGTGGTATTTCCTGCAAGTCAGACTAGTTTGCTCTTTTTTTTTTTTAAAGTATTTTAGTATTTTCCGTGTGTGTACCGTCAAATCGGATCTGACTGGTACAGGAGGAGATTGCCCCTCCTTCCTCAGCAGAGCATCTGGTGGAGACTAGTGTGTTCTTTTGGCAGCCCATGGAGTATTCAGCACTTTTCTCCAACACCACAACACAAAGGCATCAATTTTTCTGTTATCCTTAGTCATTGTCCAACTTTCAGGTGCATAGGAAGTAATTGAAAAGACCATGGCTTGGAGCAACCGAGTAACCTGTGTGAAGATAACAGAAAGGTCCTCACTGGAAGCGTAGCTTGCACTGTACTCTTTGCTGGTAAGGTAGGCGGAGAGGGTATGTGTTTGGAACGTAGCTGCAAACAAATGTGAGCTCTTGGATTCGAGTCCTTTATATTCCTGAGGCTTCATCAAGGCTATTCTCATTTCCATCAGGAGGTGGCAGCAGTGCTCACCATCTCGGCGACCACGGAGGTACCTAGGCTTCGCCTTCAAGTCTAAGACCATAGCTCAACATGCCAAGGGTTCGTTTAAGCACATGATGAAGTCATTATCTGCCTTATCTTCCTTGGAAGACTGAAAGCTGGAACGTGTGGATTCTTAACTTCCAGATGTTGTAGTTTAGCATATTAGAAAAACTCCCCAAAACCTAGTGCCTCCTACCTGTTTGATGTGAGAGAAACAGATGGCTGGGGTGGAGGACTTTGTTATGGATTGAACTGTGAACCACCAAAGTCTATGTTTGATGTAATCCATCTTGGAATTGAGCTTTCTTTGCTATGCTAATTCAGCAATCATCAGTGTCGGGTAAATCTTTAATTGATTCTGAGTTGTGAAAAGTGCAGACAAGGGGGAAGACAGATGCTGTCAGGTGAGACTGGTGGAGACATTTGCACCTATGAGCCCAGGAAAGCCAAAGATTGCTGGCAGCTACTCAAAGCTGAAATAGATGAAGAAGACCTGTCCCTAGATCCACACTCTTTGAACTCTGAATTCTAGCTTTCTAAGCTGTGAAAATAGAAACTTCTGTTCTTTAAACATATCACTATCATCCTTTAGTGGTACGAACAGTTAAGTGCTTAGCCATGAGCTGAAAGGTTAGCAGTTCAGAGACACCTTGGGAGATGGGTCTGGTGATCCGTTTTTGAAAGTTATTAACACTTAGCTTTAGCCAGGGCAGGATTCAACCCTGGAAGACAGCCGTGTCGACACCACCCTACGCCATGCTCAGCCTTTAGGCAGAGCAGGGACTGGCACTGGCAGACAGCTGTGTTATTACCACCTCGTCCTTACTCAACCTTTTGACCAGAGCAGAGATTGTCACTGAAAGACAGTTGTGTCATCACCACCGTGTCCCTACCTTGACTTTTTGGCCAAAGAAGGGATCGGCATAGGAAGACTATGGTGTGACCATCCACCCCTCACAGCCTTTTGGCCAGAGAAGGGACTGGCACTGGAAGACAGCTGGGCCATCTCAGTTTCTCCCTTGCTTTTTGACTAGAGCAAAGATTGGCACTAGACGATAGCCGTTCTGTCATTAGCCCCCTGCGTAATCCCTAGTCTTCCCCCATTGCTCTGCCTTTTGGCAAGAGAAGCAATCACAGCTGTGTAGTTACCACTGCCCCCTCCCCCACCCTAGCCTTTTTTGCCCAGAGCTGAGATCGGCACTGGAAGACAGCCATGTCTTTACCACCCTTGCTTGTCCTTTCTCTTGTCCAGAGCAGGGGTTGGCACTGGGAGACACCTGAAACATCACCTATACCTTTGCTCCCCATTGCTCTATCTTTTAGCAAAAAAACAAAAAGAGAGATTGCCATTGGAATACACTTGTGTGGTCACCGTTGCCCACCTCCCTCCAACCCCTTTTTTGGTCAGAACAGGGATTAGTACTGGAAGACAGGCGTGTCTTCATCACACACCCCATGCTCAGCTTTTTGGCCAGAGCAGGTGTCAAGCCTAGAAGAAAGCCATGTGGTCACTATTTCCTTCTTGAACAGGCTTTTGGCCAGAGCAGGGCTCGGGAGTGGAAGACAGTCATGTCGTTCCCATCCCGTCCTTGCTTGGCCTTTTGGGCAGAAAAAGGATGGGCAAAGGAAGAGGACCATGTCATCATCACCCACCCCTCGCTCAGCCTTTTGACCAGAGTGGGGATTAGCACTGGATGACAGTCATATTGTCATGACCCAGCCCTCCATGATTGATTGGCCTTTTGGGCAGAAGAGAGAGTGGAAGTAGAAGACAGCAGTCTTGTCACCGCCACCCTGT